CATTTTGCATTCCCACCAGCAGTGCATAAGAGTTCCAATCTCCCCACGGCCTCTCCCATTTGTTATTTCCAGTTTTTTTGATTCATGCCAGTAATGTCTGGGTGAGATGGTATCTCATTGTGGTTTTCATTTGCATTTCTCTAATGGCTAGTGATCGCAAGCATTTCCTCATGTGTCTGTTAGCCACTTGAATGTCTTCTTTTGTGAAGTGTCTGTTCATTTCCTTTGCTCATTTTTTGATTACATTATTTGTCTTTTTGTTGTAGAAGTGTTGGATTTTCCTGTAGATTTTAGAGACTAGAACTTTGTTGGATTTGTAATAGCCAAAAAATTTTTCCCAGTCTGTAGGTTCTCTTTTTACTCTTTTGGTGAAGTCTTTTGATGAACGTGTGTAAGTGTTTAATTTTTAGAAGATCCTAGTGATCTAGCTTATCTTCTGGTGTTTCTGTGTGTAGCAGTTTTTGGGCGGCGAAATGAACACAAAAGACAGACACACACAAAGACAAACAAGACTGCAGCCCTGAGGACTTGCAGTAGTTTATTTTTAAGGTCTCCGCCTGGGCATTATTCCAAATATCTGGTAAGTTGTTTTTCTCCTTCAAAGCACATCAAGACTTTTGTAAATATACAAACTTATCTTTTAAGGCTCACAGATCAGCAAGTTCTCCGAGACTTGGTGCTCCCTCCCGTTTGCAGGTGGGAATGGCACGTCTGCGTGCAGAACGTGCAGTCCGAATCCCGGAGACCTTGAAATCAGCTCGGGAGTGTCCGCGTGCAGATCATTCCCAGGCTGATTATTTCCCACACTGTGCTGTTAGTTATGGTTTGTATCCTGTTAATGCTGTGTATTAGGGCATCTGCTGTTGATCCTACTCTTTCTTCTATGATCTTCATAGTTTTTGGCTTTATATTTAGGTCTTTGATCCATTTTGAATTAGTTTTTGTGTATGGTATGAGGTATGGGTCTTGTTTCATTTTTTTTTTTTTTTTGTAGATGGACGTCCAGTTTTGCCAGCACCATTTGTTAAAAAGGCTGTCTTTTCCCCATTTGATGGCTTTTGGGCCCTTGTTGAAGATCAGGTAACCATAGGTGGATGGATTTACATCTGGGTTCTCAATTCTGTTCCATTGGTCAATGTATCCATTGTTGTACCAGTACCAGGCTGTTTTGACTACCGCAGCTGTATAGTAAGCTCTGAGGTCAGGTAGTGCAAGTCCTCCTACTTTATTCATCTTCTTCAATAGTGCTTTACTTATCCGGGGCCTCTTCCCTTTCCATATAAAGTTAATGATCAATTTTTCCATCTCTTTAAAGCATGTTGTTTGCATTTGGATCTGGATTGCATTGTATTTGTAAATTGCTTTGGGTAGAACTGACATTTTCACATTGTTGAGTCTACCTATCCATGAGCATGGTATGTTTTTACATTTATGCTGATCTCTTTTGCTTTCTTGCAGTGGTTTTTTGTAGTTGTCTTTGTATAGGTCTTTTACATCCCTGGTTAGATTTATTCTTAAGTACTTTATTTTTTTAGGGGCTATGATAAATGGTATTATTTTTCTGATTTCCTTTTCATCATTCTCTTTATTGGTGTATAGGAATTCAACTTATTTTTTATGTTCATTTTGTATCCTGCTACTCTGCTGAGTCTTTCTATTAGTTCTAGTAGTTTTCTTGTGGAGTCTTTTGGGTTTTCTTCGTATAGTATCACATCTTTCATAAATAGGGACAGACTTACTTCTTCATTACCAATTTGGATGCCCTTTATTTCTTTTTCTTGCCTTACTGCTCTAGCTAGGACTTCCAGCACAATGTTAAATAGGACTTGTGATAAAGGGCATCCTTGTCTTGTTCCTGTTCTCAAGGGGAATGTTTTCAGCCTCTCTTCATTAAGAATGATGTTGGCAGTTGGTTTTGTATAGATGCCTTTTATTATGTTGAGGAATTTCCCTTCTATACTTGTTTTACTGATAGTTTTTGTCAGGAATGGGTGTTGGACTTTGTTGAATGCCTTTTCTGTGTCAGTTTAGATGACCACGTGATTCTTTTCTTTTATTTATGTGGTGTATTACATTGATTAATTTTCTAACATTGAATCATCCTTGCATACCTGGTATGAATCC